AATTTTATTCCGATGCTCCCCGCCGTCATACGCCATAAAATTTTCTATGATCTTGATCGAACGCTGGAACCGAAATTAATAAGGAACGTTCTCATTTAAATTGATTAGCTTGCGAAATTCTGGCTGCGGATACATTTTTATACATTGATCTGTTGTTAGTTTATCGTCGTATTAAATTGATACTTGAAAAGAATTTATGTTTTATGAACTAATACTACCTACTATTGTTACTGTCAAAATTCGCACGTCGCGATTATCATTAATGCGGAAATAACACTCGAGATGTGGGTAGATGATGCGCCGCAACGAGAATGGATAGAGCAGTGTTTTCTTGTAATTAGTATACGAAACGGTGCTTCGCGATGCTCGGTATTCCGGGTCTGTTTCTCTTCCGGTTTTGCCGCATTTTTCTTCTACAATTTAATGCGTACGCACTTCCTCTTTCCATTCCAACTGTTCGTCCACCCGGTGCTCCGTTTTCAACGCACAACTGACTTAATAGTTTCCCAGTCGTTTCATTAACGAAAATACATTTCATATTAGAGAATATTGGGTCGTCTCAACGTTACTTGTTATACTTCCTTTGTTTCGATCAATTAACACATTGTACGCCGGCTAAATTTCGGCTACTATATACTTTTAATTAATCAAACCGATTTAGCAACTTTACTTTCGATTTGTGTTATATATATCTAAAATGTTACATTAGTGTAGGACTAGCAATTAAACGATAGACTAAAAATCCGAATAGGATGAAAAATAAACGAAACGTTTTTGCCATGTCTCGAACCTCTTTTTACAAATCATAGAACACGAAGAGTATTTTGAACGTTAAAAGCTATTCATCTGAATTTTTAAACATAAGACAAAATTTCTTTAAAGAGACGATTTACTTAAGACTAGAACTACCGACCAGTAAAATTGATTGTTCTGCATTTTATAATAAAACTTATAAAAATATATTTATTGAGCTTTCAATTTCCTTATATTCTAGTTTGTATTTATCAATAAATCAGTTTCTTGGATAATTTCTCTGAAGATCCTTTGTGCCTCATAATTGCGAAAGCAGAGACTCAAAATCGGTCATTTTGACTCACTTGGTAGTTCTAGTGTTAACGTGCGGATGGCAATTTTCACTAAGGTCAACTTATATCACTATACATAGAAAAACTTGGATATCCTATTGTTATGTAATATATTTTAAATAAATAATCAATTTGAAATTTTCCATTTTTTTCAATGCTGTGGTAATTGGCGAAGTCGCATAGCTAAGTGTCTTTATATAAGAACGAGATTTCTCGTTACCGGTGCGCAATGTGTTAACGGGAAACGGTGAATTTACAATGAAGACGCATCAAGCGCGCCGACAGCCGACCCCTCCCCCTTTATTTTAATTGACAGTAGATCTCGCATCCCGAGAATGTGATTCTAAATGGAAATTCTCTTTTCGTATATTTTCGACTTATTTTTTCCGCGCGGCACTTTACCGCCGGCGAAACGACTCCGCGCGCATTTAAATGGATCCCCGCGAGTGACTCGCCGATCCAGGATCTAACAGTAGATCGAAGAATCGCCGTAAATATGTCAGCGGTGCGCGATAACGTCGTTTACTCGAGCGTAACTCCATGCGAGATACCGCAAAAACGGCCGCGATGTGGAAGAAAAGCTGGTTATATAACTGGACGAATGTGGTTTTCATGAGTTTTTAGTTGTGAACGAATTAGCAATAGAGGCGCACGACAAAAACCGGCGGAAGAGTTGCGCGATGGAAAGAACTGGGACGAAGGAGAAGAGGGGAAGAAAAAAAAGACCGAAGCGGAATCGAGATAATTAAGAAACTTTTGCGATACGCTTTTCTCTTTAAATTACGATTCGACCGATGAGCAGATAAAAGATATTTTACCGGCGGATGCTTAATACCGCGTGAACTTCGAGAGATTAGAAAATATGTTTTCCCTCGTAAAAATCCGAGGTTTACGAGGCTGCTTTAAATTTTCATTCTAAAAGAAAATATGAAAATTCCATTTACGGCACGGCCCGCGCGCGCGCGTTCCGAAGGAGTTAATCTCGGCTGCATTTTGCGAAATGTGTTCGCCGCTTTCAGACTTTTAACGAGGGCATTTTCACGTTTAAACGGAATCCTCGTGTACGTTTGTGCATTTTGAAACATCGAGGGAATTGCTGAATTCGTTTCTCTGCGGCGATGATACCAACGAGTTCGATGGCGCTATAAATTCTATTTTTGTGTGTTCTTTTTGTTTTTGAATGAGGATCGATTTATATAGAAAACGAGAAATATTGAATTACTGAAAAGTTTCCGTTTTGTACTGTGTTAACTTCGTGTCACTCGCGATGCTTGTGAATTGGCGATTAAATATGACACGTGCTGTTATTCTTAACGAATTCGATGGAGATAGAAACTTTTTTATGTGTATTTAGTTTTCATTTTCGAATAAAATACCGTCAGAGAAAGAGAAGCTGCAATTAAATGCTACAACGAATACCGATTAATGTTGTAAAAGAAGATCAAAGTATAAAATAGAAGATTTCTATTTGTGTTATTTATAAATTGAAGGTTTAAAAGATTTAGAAGGTTTCCTTCTGCCACTGCAATTTTAACGAATTCGATAAAGTTACACACTTTTTTATTTATATTTATCTTCTATTTTCAAACGAGAAAAAAGATCGCTAGTATAGATACTACAACAAATACCACTCTGTTGTTAAAGAAGATCAAAATATAAAATAAAAAATCTCATTCTACACCACTTCTCTCATGTCACACGTGTTATTTTTTATTTACAAATTGAATGTTTAAAAATAACACACCCTCCGCCACTGCAATTTTAACAAATCCAATAAAGTCACCCATTTTTTATCTACATTTATTTCCAACGTTCAAACGAGAAATTCGTTGCAGTTAGAGGACGAGAATTGCAAATATAAATACTGCAACAAATATCACTGAATGTTGTTAAGGAAGATCAAAGTAAAAAGAAGCTTGTACGCTGTGCGACTTTTTCCCACGTGTCACGCGAGTTGTTTATATTTCGGTGAACCAAAAATACCGCAGAAATACGTCCCCGGACGTATCCTGGTGCAGTCTTGCCGCTGTCCGGCATAAACTCCGGAGCTTAAGAACTTTTCCCCACTTTACCTCTGTTACTTCCTTCGCTCCCTTTCTCTGTATGCAGTGCATTACATAGAGCAATGGGTTCAAGAGTTGGCGTCTGGCGCGCATGAAAAAGAATTCGCAGCGAATATGCGGGGAATACACCGGGCATCGCGCTGCTATCTCCTCTCCCCGTGTATATTTTCAAATGTGGAACGCCTCGGGTGGAAACTTTAAATTTCAAATAATTCCCTCCGCGGGAACACCTTGTAACGTTAAATTGTATCCTTCGAATACTCTCGTCGACCGTTGTGCAATTTATTCGTCACTTTCGTTACGAAAATTAATAATAATAATTCAAACTCGTATCTTCGAATCTACGAATGAACATTTTAAGATTCGAAGCTTTCACTTTTAATACGCTTACGAATTGATTATTAATAATTTTCTAGAGTCAATGGAATTCTATTTTGATCTAGGATCAACAATAAATCAGTTTTTCATTTCGACTTAGAGAAAACAGATAATATTTATTATTTAGAAAGTTCGATTTGATAGATCGCTAGTTCGAAGGAAAATTTAAAGAATTCAAAGCGAGTATAGTTATAAAAATTGTCGCAACAAAGTTTCGGTTTTCTCGTGCGTTCGGTATGGTATCCAAGTGAAACTGTTTGGTTTTCGAATCATTTCAGATAGGTACCTTCGAAGTAAGAATAATCACTTGAGATTCACGGGTATAACATTTTCATTCTTTCCTCGGCGTTAGATAATACTTTCCGAAGCGTTTTATAATCCTCGAGGCTGTTTTCACTGTTCGACATGGACAGTTGAGCGATTAAACAACACACGCCGAACATTTTTTCACTTCGCCGTTGCCCCTTTGCGTCGGATACCATTAGAGTCGCTAATTGCCAGTTACGGGCAACACTTTTCTGCAAGTACTATATTTTTCCTGTTGATACGTCACCGCGTAGATTCGCGAGCTCATCGCCTCTGCGTACGCGCACGCATCCTGTTCTGATTGCGGGCGTAAACAATGCGCTCTAGGTGCAACGCTTTCTTGAGCCGTGAATCGGGTCTAGAAACTTGAGATAGAGTCGTGCGTGCTGGTCATCTTGACGTCAATTAACGCACTAGACCGTCGTTTCTCTGTTAACGATCATTATTACGAGGCTATCAAACGTACAGAGCGTTAAATAATAGTACGACCGATGAAAGTGTGATATTCCTTTGAATCGAGACGACTCATTTTGAAAGTTCGAACGAATCATTGAGAGATATTAATTACTCTTTAATATACAAGAACAAAAGTTTCTAATGAACGCCTCAACACTTTACAATGGCTACGAATTATTTTTGTTGGAGGAGTTTCCTGGAGTAACTGTTTCACTTCAACAATTATTAAAATGCTAAAGGATTTAGAGGGTAATAAATTCAACAGTGATACACATTTTTTTAATTGTTTTATAATACTAAAAATATATAAAGCTATAGACGTCGTTTGCATCTACAAGTACAAGTGTTAATATTTCATCAGAAAATAACGTTTGAAAATAATGTTTGCAACGAAAAATATCTAGCGCAAAGGGTTAACAAACGTGCATCGAAACATTTCGTCTCGAGTCTCCGTTCGCCTAGCCGGTTGCTCTCTGAAATCGTTTCTACTGTACCACTGTGCCACGAGTACATTCCATTTCCACCGTGCACCGGCGTCCAAGGTTTTTAATCCTAAAAACGACAAAGTCCGCCGCGACGTCGCGTTTCGCGTGGACCGGGATCGCGCGGACTCGTTGACCGCCCTCGATCGTAAAAGGCCCGCTGCATTTCATCCAGCTTCGTTTCAACTGGACGCGTGTGTGAGTGTGTGTTTTTTTTTCTGTTCTTGCAGGAGCACGTGAACCTGGTAGGAAGGGACGGAGAGAACGGCCCGGTCCTCGTCTCGGTGAAGGCCGAGACGGTCGCCGGACAGGAGCACTGGCGAGTCCTGTTGCGACTGCGGGCTGGCTCGACCCACGAATTAGTGCCGGCCGCGAACCTCAGCCCGAATCCGTCGCCGGCAAAAATGGTCAAGGTGACGTATCCTTCATCGTTACGCGACTGCACGCTCGAGCAATCGATCGAGCTTTCGCTCCACGCTAGATTTACGGGGCGAGTCAATTGGATTTTATATTGAATTTCTTCACTGGTCGAACGCGATCGGCATTGAAATGGAAACAAATGACGTTTAGCGTTACCTTGCTAAACGTCACTGCTTTAGGTCGCATTGTTCCTAAGCACGTTTTCAAATGAGCATCGTTTGTGAATTATAGTAATTTGGTTGTGGGTCACCGGTGACCACGGCATTCAACGTGTCGATAGAGCAGAACGTAATTTGACTGATAGTGAATTTTGTGAACAGTAGTTGATAAATGTCTACGTCGACTTTGATGCAATTATTCCGGTACCGTTAGTTGCTGGAAACCTGGCACTCGTGACGTCATAGGGCGGAGACAGTCGCTTCGAGAAACCCAATTGCGAGTCGGGGAACGGCTCTTCGCGCGACCCGATTGGTGGGCGTGAGCGCCTCAGCCAATCAGGCGCGCGCCTTCGAGTCTGGCCACTTAGACGAGAGCGCCAGGTTCGCTGCAATGGACGGCACTGTCTATGGACGATATCTTTTCACTTTTGCTACGAACGTGACAGTGCAAGGAGACACGGATAGTTTGACAAACAAGGATGTGTGTAATGGGAAGTGAGACTTCAAAGCGATGCCGTGTGTGTTAAATATAAACATGCAATAGGAATCAGTCTCATAAATGTCGATCTTTCTCTCTCAAACGTAGAGTCAGTGACTTGTTGAGATTGTTATGATTAAAATAAGTCCAAACACGATGTAGGTCGGACTAATTTTACCGAGTTAATGTAGTGAACAAAATGAAAGATCCATTTCCTTAACACGTTCACTGCCATGAGAATTTTAGGCATTCTATACAATATTCCTTATTCCTTTCTAACAATGACAGATCTTGTAACCTATTCACTGTTATCATAAAATGTATGATTTCATTTGTACTTTCAATTTATTTTGCTTTATATCACGATACATTTCAAATACAACCAATATTGTACCAAACTGACAATCTCTTGCTGAGTATATTCGTGACTGGCAGTGAATGGGTTAAAATCGATCAAACTGGTCCGATCTACGTCGTGTTTGGACTTATTTTAATCGCAAGAATCTCGACAAGTTAATGGCACCGCGTTTGAGAAAGTAAGATCGAAATGAATGAAACTGATATTTCCTTCACTGCGTGTTTATATTTCACGCGTGCGGCATCGCTTTGAAGTCCCGCGTCTTGACCCTCGATGCTCGGCGGACTGTGCCTGTCTCGCTTCTTCCCATTATTCTCATCCTCCGACTTCGTCGAACTGCGTTTGTCGCATTTTGCTGTTTCCCTCAGTTCGAAGGAGACGTGACGAGATATCGTCTGTGGACAGTACCTCAATTATCTCTTTTTAAACATTTAACTCTTTGCACTCGATAGGTGACTCTCAACACTTGATTCGATACAGCAGAACTATCGAGTTGAACATTTAGTATTTTGAATTAACCCTTTGCTCTCGAAGCTTTTTCTCACTGACATTACCAGCAACTAGATGTAATTTTAATGCAAAAAGCATATTGACATATAAATAAATGATACAGGCACGAAAAGAAAAGTCACAGATGTATTTTACTGCCTTTTATCGATTATAAATATTATATATTCAATGACAAAATTTTACAGTTTGTAATGACAAATTTTAAATGGCTCTGCTCCGGAGCCCTCGAGTGCAAAGTGTTAAACATTGTATTGCTATGTGAAATATTTAAATAAAACAGCTTTGTTGCTTAACTTATCTGTGAATTATCGTTAAATCAGTTTCAAATAATGTCGCCTATATCTCGTCGGAAAATATTGAATATTTCCAGTGAAAATTTATCGAGTGCAAAGGGTTAACTTCCGAAATCCGAATTAACAAATATGAATGTTTCTAGGAGTAGTAGAATAAACTATACAATACCCGTAAATCTAGTGTTAAACATTATTATGTAAACATATCGATTTTAATTGATGCAATTACGCGAATATATATATGTCTTTCTTTCTCATTAACGATACAATAGTGTTATTTAACCATTAAATAGTACTATTTAAACCGTAAGCTTCCTTTTCCTTCGTCTAATCGTGTTGAGCGATCGTAATTGAAAGGTATCAGAACAACTTGTTGCGAGAACTCGATTCATACCATTCTTCTAATTGTCCTTAATTCGTCGTCGTAAAATAGTTACTCGCGTCTGTTCGTAGTTTCACATCAGTCACGCATTTACGCTCATTTATCAGTACACGATGAATTTGAATTTCTGATTTCTTCTTTCGCAATTATTAAAAATGTACAGACGCTCTGAGAAATCGCTTAAAAACCTGATTCAGTAATACCTACACTGAAATATAAGCCTAACAATTAAAATCATAATAAATACAAGGTTATCAATTTTACAAAGAAATTTGAAAAAATCAGTTTAACACGTTGAGTGCCGCACGATTTTGCCGAGAAAAATATACAAAATGAAAATAATCCAATATCAAATTATGTAATTGAAATGCGTTATTTTTATTGCAGGTTTATCTTGAATGTCACTACATTAAGTAGTATTACTAGTAATAAAGAAAGGCTTCCAAGTAATCATCGTTTAATTGAAAGAATTATAATAATTCGATTAGGTTGAGGTCACCGGTGACCCCATGGCATCCAACGTGTTAAGCGCTTGGTAATTCCAGTGTTAATTTCTGAAACAAGTTTCCGTGTTTTCAATAATCACAAACGAAGAAATCAGGAACGCGTCATTTCGACCCATCTGTTACGATGATTCCAATGTTAACAGACAGCCGAATATATACATAAAACTCTACGCGCGATTTCTTATAATCTCCGAACAGCAGAAATTCCATTGTAGTTTAAAATGAGCCTGCGTCCGCGCGCCGTTTCGCACCCGCCTTCGGAGGGCTAAAAGAATCTGCTTTACATGACTCATTGTCAGTCCCTGAATGCAGTCTGGTTGCACAATGCAATGTTGTTCGCGATCCAGCGTGAAACCGTCGCGAAAGAGATACACAGATATCAGTTTCAGCCGCTGATGGAGCGAACCGCGTTTGTGAAAAGGGAGACTCTCTTTTCCGAACCGTACGCACGCCCGTCATTTTTACCTACTGATAATTCCCGCTCGCAACGTGACTCAGTGTTCCCCTTTTATTTTCGCAGGCGATCAACGAATCCCTGAACGTGAGCACGCTGATGCCGGTCGTCTGTTCCGGTGCCGGCACGCTGATAGCACGATACGACGAGCACGCCCTCGTCTCGAGGTTTAAATTCGGCGTTCTTCATCAACGCGCCGGACAAGTGACCGAGGAACAACTCTTCGGGAACAGGCAGATCACGCCCGCCTTCCAGGAGTTCCTCGACTTGCTGGGTCAAAACATCGATCTGAAGGACCACAAAGGGTAGGTAACCGGAACTCTCCGCGACCACTGCGGTGGCTGATATCGCTGCTGAACAGGGTACATCCGGGAAAGATGGCCCAGTTTTCACTTTTAACGATAGAATTACCGATCGCTGAAACTGGCTTTTAACAATTTCGCCGTGAAAAGCGTAAGCGTGTTTATTAAGGTTTCAGTTTAGCTGTATTTCAGTTTTGCTGTTATTATCGGAAATAAGTCGTATTGACCTATTCGGTGATTCTAGTGTTATGGAACTGTTGCAGCATAAATGTCATTGATATTTATTTGTTTGTTTGACGGGATGAACTTTACTACAGAAAAGGAAGAGATGTAAATAAAATAGATAATATTCAATAGATAATGGAATAATAAGCGAAACAGAATATAACAAAGAAGGAAGATATTTATGATAGTGATTTAGGACACCACTAAAGGTAATTGGAAATATAGACATTTAATGAGCCATTCAATGGGAATCGCCCTATGCAGGACGTTTCTCTATGGTAGATGCAAAGTATTTCCATTTTGGCTACTTAGAAAATTGTATTAATGGTACTTTGAACCTTCAGCTGCATATTTTTATATAACGAATGTAATTAACTCTTTACACTCGAAAGGTGACTTAGTCACCACTCGATTTCATGTAGTAAAACTATAAAATTTGATATTCAATATTGAACTGTATATAATACATCAGTCTGTAAAATATTGGGTTAAAAAAGCTTCCTCAATTTACTTGCGATTTCTCTTTGAGTTAATTTCAAAAAATATCGTCTGCGTCTAGTCAGAAAGTATGAAATATTTCTTATACTTCCAAGGGCAAAGGGTTAAGTTGTTAATAAGTAAATACTGAAGATCCAAAAAAAAAAGGTTAAGCTCTTGGTTTCTCACTTTGAGGTTCACGTCGACGTTGGTTCATTCAATTACAGCTTAATACCCTATTCATTTATTCAAGAATATTTAGAGTCATTGAAATGTTACCTTTAAATGGTACAATTGTACAAATAAATATAGAAAATATTGTTAAAACAGGTAGAGGTCGCAATAAAATAGGACTGCTAAGGGGTAATGCAAGTTTAGATCTCCGAGCACCCGGTCGAAACTAATTAAGTTATTATCTATTATACAGTGGTTGCTACAGGTGACGTATTTCATGTTGCAGATATCGTGGCGGTTTAGACACTCGACACGGACAAACCGGCGACTCCGCGGTCTATGAGGTATTCCGAGGGCGAGAAGTCCTCTTCCATGTTGCCTCGCTGCTACCGTACAGTCCAGGGGATTCTCAACAATTACAGCGCAAAAGACACATCGGCAATGACATCGTTGCGATAATATTCCAAGAAGAGGCAACACCTTTCAGCCCAGATATGATTGCCAGTCACTTCTTACACGCATTCATCGTGGTGCAAGTCGTCGACCCCTGCACTTCCAATACGAGGTATATTCTTAGATGCCTATGTACACCGTTCGCGTACCGTGCCACCGTGAAATCCGAATGTATCAGTTACGAAATCGTGGTTCCCAACTTTAAACAAATATCCGCTTAAAATACTTTGCGAAACGAATGCGCGGGATAGTCGGATCCCCATTTTCTATCGACGGATCTTACAGGTCTTACGGAATTCGAAATTTTGCTACGACTAGCATAGTGAAATGTGCAACCCTTTGGGTACAGGTTTATTTGAAAATTTTTTCCCACTTGGAGCACATTTAATTTTGGCAAGTAAAAGCAGATTTTATGCAAGAATTCATTTATTTCGTATTATTCATTGTATATATCCCTACATAATATTGAAATAACTTTAGTTAGTATTACAAGATACTCTTAAAGCAAGTAAACTCTGGTTATAATAAATAGCAAATTATTAATAATTTTCATCTAATTTTTCACGAGGAGATTCACTGTCACTGCTTGATCAGCATCTTGAAGAGAATAAATTGATAATAGAAGATTTGTTTGCTTTGATCCGTGGATAATGAACAACATTTATTGTTGTCTAATTGGTGTAAAAATCTTCATCACGAGTCTCACTCATGGTTGTACGTTAAGGGGTTAAATATCAAGTTTTACTCGAGTGTAAAGGGTTAATAAGATCTTTGTCTGTTTTTGAGTGAAATAGAATTTTGAATGAAGTAAGAAAGCTTTTATAACATTTGAATTTCTGTGAAATAGAGTATGAGAATTTATATTTGCATAAACGTTCGTAGTTTAGTCGTTAGTTACTATGTCTTTCAGCTCGTTTACCGTCAAATGTCCAATTTTCTAGGAAATTTCTTCTTTTCCTTTAAATTGCTGTAGAATTATGAATGTATCTGAAATACTTTTAACCGTTTGTTTACGTATTCTAAACGCAGGTACAAGGTGAGTGTGACTGCGCGAAATGACGTTCCATGGTTCGGTCCGGCGCTACCAACGCCGGCGGTGTTTTTGCGTGGAGTCGAATTCAAGGAATTCCTTTTGACGAAGTTGGTGAACGCTGAAAACGCGGCGTATAAAGCCGAGAAGTTCTCAAAACTCGAGGTAACAGTCCCACGATATTGCATTAACGCTCGCGCGGTTATTCCTATTCCAAACACGCTTCATTAGCAATGAAAACGATTTCCGAAACGTACCAAATGGCGAAATTGTAATTAAATAGTTCCAACGAGATATTCGAACTTTCGTTTACATAAATTTCGAAAAAACTGCATTAATTCGCGACTGAAAGCAAATATTAACCTCTTGCGCTGGAAAGACGTGCTGCGCACGTCGAGACGTTTCTGTTCCAAAATGGTCAACGATGTCTTACACATTGATCATCTTATTGCATTACGCATATTAGATCGTTTCGAAATACATCACTCTATACAAAATGATTAACAAACGAAATTAATGTCCACATCTGCGTAAAATAGGTAAAAACAAAATTCATTCGAGACTTTGTCAAATCTCTGATTTCCAGCGCGAGTGTTTAATAGTCCTTAGAACACGCCAACCAAACAGCAGCGTACAGAAATATATTCAACGTACATGCACGCAAGAAAAACAAAATCCAAATTACTAAACAAGCAGCAATAATTTGGTATTTTTCAAACACACGGAATTTACCTTACACTTGTCCCCGACATTTCAACATCCTCGGATGATAACGCTAACAAACTGAATTTTAAATAAACAGCTAAGAACGAGGTCAGCGCTTTTGGAGTCGCTGACGGAGGAGCTGCAAGCGAAGACCGCAGAATTTCTTGGCGGAGCGATTGGATTGGGTGGCACCGGGTTAGGATTCGGCAGCAATTGTCCAGTGAGCCCAACGGCGAGCGATACGTCAGGGTCAGGGAGCGGCGGGAGCGGTTCTAGGTTCATCGATACGGTCAGAAAAGCGCTGATATCACGTGTCAGGAATGCATCGACGGAGAGCGTGCCGCAACAGTTATCAAAGAAGGGTCAGTCCGAGCCCAGCCCGCCGAGTAATCGGCAATCGACCACGAAGATTAGCGGGAAACGTTCGGTGGAACCGTCGAGTCCCTTGGGCTCCCCGGATTTGACCCTTCGAAGAGACTCGGAACGCGGAAGCCCTAGTTTAGGAAGTCAGGACAGTAGCTTGTCCAACACAGACAATCAAGATAGCAGTTTAGCTACCCTGCAGCAGGACGAGGTGGATCGCAGGGAATCCACGGTGTCGGTTTGCGTCAACAATGACGCAACGATCGCGGATAAAGCTCCCGTACAGTCCGTGCAGAGATTGACCCACGAGAACCTGCGGAAACAGGAGAGGTCGGAGAAGACCGAGACCACGCAACGCGTTATTTCCGAGAGTGACGACAGTTCGTTGAACAGCGAACTGGAACTCGATCAGGCTGTATATCCGGACAGCGATACCGGCCTTGAATCGATGAGCTCCGCGGAGACCCACGACACCGCGCGATGCACCACCAAAGACGGTGTCTTGGAGAATGAGAACCTGAGGATGGAAGTTACTAGGCTGAAGTGCGACAAGTTGGACCTACTTAGGCAGAATGTGGTAAGGACGGATCGGTTGGGTGTAAGATAGTAAAGGAGGTTGAACAGTTTCTGTTAAATCCGTTTCCAATCTGGGAGTTGGAAATTTTTAATAAAATATTAATGTTCTTACCGTAATGTCTACGAATAAATAAACTTCTTATCGTAACGTAACAGTACAAATTCAGTGAAGTAATGTTTATTTTGTAATAGAGGTATTATTTAAGACGTGTCTGTGTTATTGTGTCTATTAGAAGATAGGGAGGCGGGGAAAAAAGTTTTTTATGGAGGCGTAATAGCATAAAGGTTGGAAACTGCTGGATTAAATGGAGAAGAGTATTTAAACTTGTCAACCTTCTATGATGATTTGTATTACTTTGCGATTAACGAGTTACGTGTTACTTGTATGTTCCAGACTTGTCAACGTGACATAAAACGTCTACGCGAGAAAGAGCTTCAGTTGCAGTCGGACCTGGCGGCCGCCTCAAAGGAAATATTGCGATTACGAGCGATGTTGAAAGAATGTTCAACGAGTATTCCATTGGACAACAATAACCAACAAACGTCTACCGTTTAAATGTTATTTTAACGTGTGTTTAGTACACCTATTATTGGCGAGTAACTTGCTGTTACTATTATTAGATTTTATGAATTAGTTAGGGCGCAGTAGTTGAGAACTTTGTGCACACACTTAATTTCTCGGAATTGCTTCTATTAAAGGAAACTTTCCGGAACGGCTTTTCTGAAAGTGTGAAAATTCGCAATCGAAATGCTTTACGTTTGGTCCTTAATTTGTAAGATTGATCTTCATTAGATAGAAGTTGGTACAAAAGCAGGATGCCAGGGGGAGGAGGTATTGTCTGTGAATGGCATTTAGAGATGAAACAAAAGTGAGTCTGCGATATATAATTATAGCGACGCGTCTTTCGAGATATTTGCAGCGGAGCTAATTGTTACTTGTAGTATAATACTTGTTTGAATTTTAACCATATTATTTATCAATTAATTTATTAATACAGATAAGTTAACCTCTAATAGTCAATATAATTACAAGTATATATGGTCACGCAATCACGTATTTACGTGAATGTAGATAGAAAAATTCAAAGAAATAGATGCATCTTGTCATTATAATATTAGAAACGCTAGTATCAAACAAGTAAAATGGCCTTTAGACTTAGCATTTCCGAAACTAAGTGTAAACACATAGAATCGAGTATAATACATTTTATCTGTAATTAAATGTTCATAAATGCTACATGTACGTATACATATATTCCCTATATGTATACTTATACGTAGTATTTTTATATATGATGTAATATATGCAGTCGTCGTGTTGTTACACCACGAGGAATCTGCATATTGTCCCATAAAACAGTATAAAGCGTGTGATACGTGTATCAACTTAATAATGTCAACTAATTATGGGCTCTAGAAATGTGTTTTATCGATATATTTCTGACGTCTCATGTTGAAACACGGATATGTATCGTTAGTTACAGTATTTATTGTGGTAAATTTACCAAAACCATTACTAGTTTCTTTTTAGTATTAGTCCGCAACAATTCTAGGAGATACGAATGCCTCGTTAATTAATCTTCCGGTATCATTAGCCAACCTAGACTAAGATTAGGTTTTCTAACTATTCGGACAGTTACAATGATTTAGCTGCACCAAATTGTTTAAGGGCACACAGCGTATTAATGTGTCAGTAGCGTTACGAATGGGATACGTATTATCGTTCGCTATTCACAACTACGCAAACGCAAACTAAATGTAATTCATCTGCTTAGTGATGCACTTTTTATTTTCATTAACTTTCACTGATGGTATTAGTATGATTTATGATTATTATTATTAATATTATTATTATCATTATTATTATTATTATTATTATTAATATTATTATTAGTAATCACGTTGTC